CGCAAGTCACTCCTCAGGCTCTTCCGCACGCCCTCGATTCTCTCCATGCTGGCACTGAGGTAATCAGGGACTGCTGCCCGCTGCACCAAGTTGGCAGGGAAAAGGCCGGACCGGCCGCCGATGGAGCCAAACAGCCATCCTGGCAAAGGTGAGTAAGGACAGGGTCAGAGCCAAGAAGTATGGTGGCCCTAGGCAAAAAGAGCACCCTGATTTCCTGCAGTGCCTTCCAGCCTAAAAAGGGCTTCCTAGTCCCTAACTGCACCTCCTGGCACCTCAAGTTAAGGCCAGGTGGTGGAGCACACAGGAAAGGGATGTGACCCACTGGAGCCACTTCGGGGTCAGTGGCAGAGCTGGGGGTGGGCATCCTAATGCCCAGCCTAGCCTGCTTCAGGAGCCTTGGCCCTCCCTCTTCCCTTCTTCTGTGGCACAGGGGCCCAGTAACACAGTGAAAGGCCTCTTGCATGGTGGATGCAAAGTTCTGGGTGCAGAGCTTTGAGTGCAGACCTCCACAAATCAATTCCTGCAGTGTCCCTATGCCCTGCACAGAGCCCCTCTCACCTGGCTCCAACCCATGAATGGGAAGTAACTTGATGATGTCGCCTTTCTTGAAATTCAACAGGCTCTTGTCATCTGTGACGTAGCTGCGCAGAGCGACAACGTAGTTGGAGTCCTGTGGAAGAAAGGGACAAGGAGGGGGCTGCAGCCTGTCACTCTCATTACCACATCTGAGGAGGCCTCAAGTCACACATTACAGTGGGTCACACCCAGTCGCTGCTGGACCATTCTCGTACCTGCCTCAGCTCCTGGAGGAAGAGCTCCACCATAGCCTTGACTTGCTGAGCTTTTGTCGAGTGCAGGATCAGCTGCTCATTCTTCAGTGAGAACTCCAGGGTGTTTCTGCCCTTCAGCTCTACGGACATCATGTCTGCAAAACTGAGGATACCACACCATGAGCCAGCCACCAACACCAGAGCTGGTGACCCAGCCCAGCCCAGCAGTGACAACCAACAGAGGGGGACTAGGACAGGGACCCAAGCAAGCACTCAAGCTGCCAATGCAGGGGCAGAGCTCAGTTGCTGCAGAAGCAGGTCCAAGTATTTCACTAACATCCAAATCTTAAGAGATGACCAGCAGTGCTAAGAGCCACCCACTGTTCCCACTAACTGGGGGTTCTCCTGGCATCAACCCCTCATGAGCCTACACCTAAGAGAACAGACATTGAGATAGGGCTGACACTTTGTAAGCAAAACCCCCAGGCAGGAAACCTGGAGGGGAATGAAAGAAAAAACTAACAAGTTTTAAAACAAAGAGATTGGACCAGTCAGTGAGGTCAATCGCCACAAAGGCTGAGTGACCTTTCACAAGAGCATCGTGTGACCAAGGAAGCCATACTGGATCTTCTGCTTGGTCTCTGCTTCGTGTACAAGGGGAAGGGCAAGATGCAGCAAAACACACTCTATCCTCATTGTCGGGGAAGTACTAGTCAGAACCACCCAAAACTACAGGAAGGCAACAGACAGTGTTCCTGCTCCCCAGGAAGCCCAAAGAGGAGTGATCCCCTGCCTCTAGTAACCCCCCAAATTCCGCTCCAGGCCCACTCCCTCACCTATAGCTGCAAAGGATCTTCAGGTGTTCAGGGCTAAATCCAGCTGCTTTTACTATCTTCAGCAGCCGGAGGCCCCGGTGGGAAACCCCCAGGATCTGGACATCGCTTCCATTTTCGCCCTGAAAGAGAAGTCCACCTGCTGGTAGAGTCCTGGCAGACTGAGGAACAGAGGCCAGTGAGAGCTAAACATGCTGAAGGATGGACAGGGGAACACCGGGGAGGTGGATGTGTGGAGAATGAGCACAGGACAAGGATCAGGCTAGGAGTGTGGGCAGAGAAGAAGAGGATCCAAAACCCCTGGTGTGTGTGGTGGTGGAAGGTTGGGAGCGGGGAGGGGCGGTGGTGGACAGATGGTGGGGCGAGAGAGCAGGACAAACAGCCAGGTGGGAAGAACATGTAGGAAAGAGGTTCAAAATGGCCCAAAGCCACCAATTGTGGGTCCCTGTTATATTCATCAACACCTCACAGGGCACAGTGTTTGGATCTGGGGGGGGTCACAATCTGCTTGGTCTCTCAACAGGGATCTCATGCCCTGCCTGGCTCTGGGTACAAGCCTGGACTGCAGATCTCCAGCTCACTCAGACCAGAGGAAGTAGAGAGACACTGGTCTGAACTGGATCTTGAGGAAAGAGAAAATCATACCTGAACTGGGAAGAGGCGGGAGAAGTAGTTGGCCCAGTTATCTCGAGCAGCCACCACGATCCTCTTCTTGAATCCATCCTCCAGAATGGAGCTGGCATCCGGGCCAACCTGGAACTCCGCTGGCAGGGGCACAATGCAGAGGCTGAGTTTCCACAGCAGACAGTGCAGTCTCTCCCTGCTGGAGGTTTGCAGGCAGATTTCCTGCAGCGAGGGAGGGGGCCATGCCAAGCCCCTGCCATCTCCAAGCATAGAGGTAATCTCTACAGCTGGAGTCTGTCTCTACTCCACAGCCACCCTCATGGCACCGCCTAGATTTCCCAGCAGTGTTTGCCCTAGTCCTGGAACAGAGGCTGGCATGGAATAGCTAGATTCCCTTGTCTGGGCCAATGGAACTGCCTTTCTTATTAATGATGATGCCTCAGCCTCCTGCAGTCTCTCAACAAACCTTGGGTCTAAACATGCCCAGTTCCAAAGTCATGTCCCTCCAATATGGCCTTTCATTGCAACTCCCTTCCCACCAGCACAATCCTCAAGACAGAGCAACCTCTGCTGCCAATGACCCTCATACACAGTGGTCCTGTTTGCGGAACTTCTCCATAATGGCCCCATCGTAGCAATGTAGTCAAGTGAAGTATGGGGCAATTCTCCCTTCCTACTCCCTCCCAATCAGAATAGGGTTAAAATTCCCCTGGGTCACAGGGATGCCATGAGGATTAGTGAATGGGCCCTGAGTGCTTTGCCCAGGGCGCTGTGCTGTATAAACACAGAGGCTGAATGCTAGTGAAGCCATCAAGGCAATGCAATGTCCAGCTATGGAAGTGCCACCCACAGCTGGTTCTCTCCTCAGTCCCTTTCACTGACAAGGCCACAGCTAAGAGCAGGAATAGGGTAAGGAAGAATCACTAGTTACCCAACAAGTCTTTCATTTTCCGCCTCTCCTCCTTGGAGATCCGAAAGCAGGAGTCAGAGTAAGTGTCTCGAATGATCTGCAGGGGAGACAAAGCAGACAGGATTCCATGGGGGAGGCTGTGGGTCAGGGCTGGTGTGGAGTGCCTGAGGCTTCCCAGTGGCTAGAAGTTCAGGGATAAAGCAGGGCACGTGGTTTGAATGGGTCCAGGGACCCAAACCATTAACAATATGGGAGTGGGGGTGGCATCCCAGAGAAGCACGTGAACATAAAGGAAGGACCAGGGGATGTACACAGACTCTCACCTGCTCACACAGGAGGTTCAGAGAATAGGGGTGACTGAAGTTTTCTTTGGGGTAAAACACCTGGAACAAAGAGGATAAAAACAGCAGGAGTGTCAGAAACAGAACAAAAACTACTTCTATGGGAGTATCTTGCAACCCAGCTACCTTAACACTGACCAGAAGTGTCTGCCTCCAGTGGTAAGCTGAGGCAGAAGAAGGGGAAGTTCTTAGCAGAGGAAGGGAGACTCAGCGAAGCAGTGGGAAGCAGGGAGAATCCTGGGTAGCTCAATGCATTTGCCAGCCCCTGCCTGCTACGCTGCTATGGGGAGAGAGAGAGAGCTGATCGCAGCTTGTGAGGGCTTCTGTGAATGTTTTCCATCCCTAGATCTCATAGTGGAGGGAATGGGCAGGTGAGACACAGGAATGAGCCCCAAGAATACATGCAGCAAGGTCAGGAACTGGACAAGGATCTCCAGACTCCTAGTTCAGTGCCAGGCTTCCCCCTTCAGCTACCAGTGTGGCTGTCTCCAATGTGTCTCAAGCGCAGCAAGTGCAAAGCAAAGCCAGGTTTTTTTCTCCTTTCTCTACCTCCCCCTCTCTAGCCCTTGTGTATGACCCCATGGCCAGAGGCCTCCAGCTGCACCTCTTTGCGTAGGAAGATTTTCCAGGCGACATTGGTATAGGAGAAGCTGACGCTGGCAGTGAGCTTATAGAGCTGGGTCTTGATGCTAGCATCATCTTCTGTTATGGTCCGGGCAGAGCCTGCATGGGAGGAAAAGCAGTTGGGTAGGATCTGGGGACATCTACCCTGAGCCCAAGGCTTGCCAAGGAAGGAGGGTGGCACGGTCTGACCTTACTGGAGGGTCCTCTCAGGGCCACATTATCGTAGGTCAGTGACTGGCTTGTGCCAGGTCAGCATGCGAGTAAACTCACAAAACACGGGACGGTGTGAGCGCACCAAGCCTAGCTGAGAACATGGGGGTCTATGCACAAAGCTCAGTACCGATACAAAACATAGGTTGAAAAATAAAGCGTTCAAAAGAGAAGGAAGATAAAAGGTCACTGAGGAAAGATCTGCCCCGTCATGCTTACATATTACAGTATGGTCTCACTTTATGCCATGATAGAATGATTAGTTATCACCGATCTTAGTCTCACATATTACTGATACCTACATAATGTATCAATATGTTACGTAGAGTATGCATGCCTGATCTGATTTTTAATTCTCCATGAGATATACCAAACAAGTCCAGTTTGAAGAATCAATTTGTGCTGTTTGGAATTCTTTTTGAATACCATAATACAGGGGTTGTCAGCCAGGGGTACACACCCCCAGGGGTACTTGAGAAGGTCCTAAGGGGTACGCACGGGTGGGTTTGGACAGAGCACCACCATGCACCATCCTGTACTGCCGCGCAGGCACCACCTGCCCAGCCAGATGCGGAGGGGAGGGGAAGCTTGCATGCGGCAGTTGCTGTCACTCCACATTTGGCTATGCACCCCCCACACACACACACTTTGTGTCTGGCCGCTGGGAGTACACTGATCTGAAAAGGTTGAAAACCCCTGCCCTAATACATATATAGCCTTCTGTTTAACAACAGTGCTGTGAACATCATTGGAAATCTCCATCCCTCAAACTGCAAAGCACTGTTTATAAATTAGGGCCCCGTCTTGCTCCCATTGACAAATCACAGGCAAAAATTCCATCAGGTTCAATGGAAGCCTCCCAACTCCTCGACACCGTGAGGATCATCCCCATTTTACACATGGACAGAATCTACATTCGAAGAGAGACAGCCAAGAACAGAGCCCAGGTCTCCTGTCTCCCAGGTCTGTGCTCTAAGCTGGCAGTGATCCTCACTCGCAAGCTCTTCCATGCATTTCTCCGCATGCTCTGAAGGAGTTGCACCCCTCCCTTGTGCTCCACATTCCATGCCATGGCAAAGTCCATTGCTTTAATTGCAGCTTTGATAGAGTTTGCCACGTCAAATCAGCCATAAAAGCTGTTGTGTGCTGGACTTTGGCACAGTTGGAGTCCAAAAGTCCTTGGCTGTTTTTAGCTAAACTGTGAAGATCGGCCCAGTCCTCAAGATTTTTCCCTTGTTGTTTTTCTGCAAGGCAGGTTTAATGCTGACCAAAAGTGACGGCCTGTCAGAGCTGAAGAGCGATGCCCACATTTTCCCCCATGAAGCAGAAAGAGCAGCAGAAGCTTTCTTGACATAACACAGCCACAACTCCTCACCCTAGAGCCTGAAGGGGCCAGTTTTCTGGGACAAAGCTAGTTCAGCCTCCATAGGCTAGTCAGTCCCTAGCAAGCCAGCTGAAACTGCCAGGAGAGGTCAGGAAGCCGTGCCATGGTGCTACCTGCGATATGGGCACCTGCTCCCTGGGAACTGGGCTGAGACCCCCAAGTGCCTCTGGAGGGAAACACCATCAAGCATAAGGGCATTGCTCACCTCTCAGCTCAGACTCCTGCTTGGCTTGATCTGCAAACAGAAGAGGTGGGGGCAGACCAGGGGGAGGCGGAGGGATCTGAGAACCTGGGGGAGAGGTTGGCGGCTGGCCAAAGATATTCATGAGTGGTAGCTGCTTTTCCCGGATGGAGTTGGACTTGGGAGGTGGTGGTGGTGGCACTCTCTTGTGGCTATTCTCTGGTGCCAAAGCTGTCAGCTGCAAGCAGGGAGAGAAAGGGTGTTTGATACATGGTCACACTCCATGTCTACAGGCTCTAGGGCAGTATTTCTCTCAGACAGTGCCTGAAGCAGGAACCATGGCAGCACCAATATAGGGCTCCATAAGCCAGGACCCATGGTACAAACAAAAAAAGGCATCAATTCAGATCAGGTGAAGAGCATGTGAATGCTCAGGGCTGGAGCTGCTTATGGCAGCGAAGAGCCTCCATCACACCACTCCACCGTCAAGCATGGGGAGAACTTACTGAGTCAGGAGGCTGATACGTTGTTATCCCCAACTTTGCCAGAGCTTCATTCTTGGGGTCATTCTTCTTTATAAAGGGCTTGGATGTCCTGCAAGGCGACAAGGAAAGAGACCACCAGGTTTACAGAACAGGGCAGCGTGGCACTGGTGAGCATGTGGAGGCACCGAGATGCAATTCCTACCCTCTCCCCACCTGCCTCCCCCCTCACCTCAAGAGCTCAATGGGCTGTGGCTCTGGGGCTGGCCTACTCTGGTACATCTTGATGATGTTGCGGATCTCCCGGCTGGGCTTGGCCTTGGGCACTGGCTTCGACTGCTTCACCCCAGGCTCTTTCTTTGCTTTAGTGACTGGTTTTTCTGGCTTCTGAATGGGAGTTGGCAAGGGGGGTGCAGGGACTGCAGAGGAGAGAGGGAGACATGAAGGGAGCCAGCAGACAGCACAAAAGAAATCCCCTCTCCCCATTCAGTGTTCACCTGGAGCTAAGTGGCCTTGGGGTCCTTCAGCCTTGCCTTGCTGCTATACCTTCCCAAAACCCACTGCCTTTTCCTCTCTCATCTGCTATTGCCTTGGGGGGCTTGAGTGCAAGAGGCTGAAGAGGGCAGTAACTGAGCTAATGAACACTAGCACTGCCCTCTGCAAGATCCAGGGTGGGCTGAACAGAGCTAACCACTGCTACTCCCAAAGAATTTCCCCCTCCCTGCATCATCTCTCAGCTTAGAAAGACAGTTGCCATGACAGAGACCCTTAAAGAACTAAACTGGATCCACGTTGTTCCCATTGAATAAGCATGCTGGGAGACAGAAGGATTTCTGGGATCTGAGCCCTGTCCCGAGAGTGCAGAGGATTCTCCTTGCATCCACAAGCCGCAGAGATTGGAGGCTGGAGCTCCTAGCTCTGAGGAGGATGCTGGGGCCTGGGGCAATCTGATCCTCACAGTTTGACTAGAGTTTGAACTCCATGGGAATGGCAGGTACTGGGCAGGCCCTGGGTGTGGCACACCAGGTTAGACCTCCTCTGCATGCTGCCTTACCTGCCTCTGGTTGCGGACTGGAGGCCGTTTCCTTTGGTGCCTCCTCATTTGGCTGTGGCTTTGTGGGAGGGGGTCTGACCTTCCTCACAAAGATCTTTTGCTGCCCTGTATGCAAAAGAAGGGGGTGAACAGTGAAACCCAACACAACCAAAAAAGTCTTCTAAGCTTGGTTGCATCATGTCACTTGCTTCTTCAACAGCTGTTCCAGCCTGCAGAGGTTTGTGTAAGGCCCTTCTTGCTGTGCAGGAGGGAGGGTATCATACCCTTCAAGGGTCTCTCTCAGGCCCACACCCAAACTGCAACTCCAGCAGGATCAAATGCCCAGCAGGTACAGCATATTCCCCACATGCCCAGCCCGCACTGAGCTTCATGCAGCACAAGGAGCTGCCCCAGGCTGAGGCTGGCTTACACAACAGTGAAACCAAGGGGTTGGGTCCTCTTTGGAGAAGATTTACAGCCAGGTGGAGACTCACCCATTCTCTGGAAGTACTCTCTCTTCTGCTGGAAGGTCTCTAGAGGCAAGGTGCCCTCATTACTGTCTGAGGCATCCAAGTAGGTGCAGATCTACAAGACATCCACAACAGGCCTGGTTACAGCCTGTTCAGCCTAAGCAGCATGGGGTGCTTGCCTCTGTCCCAGCCAACACAGAGACCCTTGGGGAACTTTCAATGGCTCCCTCATACCCAGAGATGGGCCTAACTAGAAGGGTTTGGACTCTGATCCAGACCCAAAACTTCCTCAAACTCTGGGAAGGTTGGGATGGAGCAGGGTTTGGGTCTAGTTTATTGGCAACACTCTGAAATGGAAAGCTCCTACTGACTTGCACCCAACCCATACAGTATGCAAACCCACAAACACTGGAACGTCTCTCACTCCACATCTACTTCAGGGGCCCTAACCTAAGCCCTGATAAATGGGAGGAAGCGTGAAGAATCATGAAACTCCAAAAGCAGGTCACCACACTGGGAGGACAGTGATGGAGAATTAAAGGTTTTGCCATTAACTTCCATGAGAATGGGAATGAATAGGATAATGCAGCAAGATTCACTGAGGCCACAGCAAAACTCTCATCAGCTTAAACAATGCCAGGATTTGGCCCTGCCTGCCTCAGACCCAGGGGGTGGTTTGACAGGTCTCAGCAGACAGCTGAAGAGGGGTCTGAGCAAGGTTCTCTGCCACCTCCGCCTATGAAAAGGGCAGGAGCACTGTCACGTGGAACCCCACAAGGGACACTCCATGTCTGGTACCGATGTTGTGGCCTCTGGCAGGGACTGTGGTGGCTCAGCATTCTGGTTGCTGCTGGATTTGGTGGGTTTAGGTGCTGGAGCTGGAGCTGGTGATGGGATTTTGGCTTGTCTTGACCTTGAGGGCTCAGGAGACCTTGGCCGCTGCCGCCGCTGTTGTTCCTGGGAGATGGTCATGGCCTGCAGGGTCATCTGCTGTGCCTGGAAGAAGGAATTTCCATCTGCATAAGCCCTGGCCCTCTGTACAATCTTCTTCTGCTGATTGTACCTTTGAACAGGCTAATGGAGCTCTGTCAAGTTCTCTAGGGGTATAGGCATGGTCCAGACCCACCCACACAGTGGTCAATACCCTCAGATGAACAAAGCAGAAAACCACGGGGCAACCAGACAGGGCCTGGATGGGATAATGGAGTAGAGCTCAGCCTCTCACACTAGTGCACTCTTCTCTTCATAGATTTTTCCAAGTCCCCTATCCTTTCCACTCACCATGAGCAAGGCATGCTGGTTAATAAAGGCCTGCTGTTGTGCAGCTATCTGATTAGGGTCTACAGATGGGACCACCGGCTGGGGCTGGGGCAAAACCATGGCTGAGAAAGACAGAGACACACAAAACTGTAGAGGGTCATAAGGTAAATGTAAGGGGGGCAAGTGCATCAGGCTGGGGACAAAGAAATACACAGGGTGCAGCTGGTGTGTCCAATGCAAGGGACAAATTCATCACATCCGCGCATGATGGAGTGAATCCCAGGCAGGAGCTGCATGTCTTGGCCTGCCTTCCTCCACACAAATTCAAACCTGCCCCAGTCCCATTCCAATAACTATAATATGATGCCTCTATGAGTTCCTTCTGCTGTTTCTTGCTTCCTGCTCTGCACTATGACATGTGGCTGTGCAGCTATTCAACTGCTGCCAGGCTTCACCTCAGAGGTGGCTGCATTTCAACAGTGGCTTTTCTGACTCCTGGATGTGTACTCCATGAAGTGCTTGTGATGAAATGTCTTATGCAGGGCTCCTCGGCACTATGATAAAAAACTATGGACTTGCTCACACAGCCCTCCTTGTTCCAAACCAACTCTCCCCCATTATTTAGTGAAACACTTCTGCATTTGTTATTACCTGGCATAGGTGTGATCCCACCCATAGATGGCATCATTGGCATGGGTGCTGGCATCATTCCACCCATCATTGGCATGGGCTGGTATGCAGGTACTTGCATGATTCCAGGGTAACCTAGGTAGAAAGATGTCACGAGTGAAAATGACCTTCAATGAATCCCAGACCAGAAAGCCCTGCACAGCTGGCAACACACCACACACACAGCCCTGCCATTGGCTCTGCCAACTTGCACTGAGCATGGCAACATGTGATGGCATTTCCATCACATTAGGCAGGCTACACAGCAACACCCAGGAGAGCTGGCCGAGCAGAAGGGGAAATCTGGAACGTTACACACCTTCACAAGAGACCATGCAGTGGGCTCTGCCCTGCATCTTCACTTTGGATCCCTTGTCCCAGCACAACTACAGGGAAGCTTAGTTTCCTTGTTTTCTAACAACAATCTATGAAAACTGGTAGGTGTATTTATGGTTATTGCAGATCTCAGGGCTGTATTATGGCTATTGCTGCTGATGCAAAAACCAGGGCTGTGGGATCAAGACTGAGTGGTGGGCAAAACCTTTCTGGATCTCTCCTGTCCCTACTTCTGATGTAAAAAGGTCAGTATGGTTGGTGGCAAAAAGTCATGGCAGAGGCAGAAAGTAGCTACCACAGAGGGTATAGCCTCTCATGGTGTCCAAGCTGTGGCTGTTAGAAAACAAAGCAGGAAATTTTACACTGTAAGCCACAAAACTGCCTGGTTCTGTCACTTGGCACAACCCATCTCACTGACAATCACCAAAAGGATGCCAAAGAGAAAGGCCCAGCACACTCCACTGACATGCTAGAAAACCACATCTGGTAACTGCAGCATTTCACAACAGCCACAAATAGCCACGTGGCAGGCCCTGAGATCTGCAATAACCATAAATATGCCTCTCTGACCCACTGATTCACAGGTCATTAACATGCCCGTACGTCCTCGTCCCATGTATTTTCAGTACCCACACATGTTCTCATGTCTTACAAGTTTCCAATAGTCAAACATGCCACACACCAGTGAACTATGTCCAGGTCTTGTACTCTGAGCACACAAGCAAGAGGGAGAAAAACCAAGCATGTACATGAGAGAAAACCTGGATATGGTTCAGACTTACTAACCCACTGAATAGCTAGGGATGATGGGGAAGTCTGTAAAGAAGCAATAAGGGAGAGATTAAAATTCTCTGCTCAGGGACAGGCAGCTCACATTGTGGGGCCAACAGGGCCATGCCATTGCTGCCAGAAGGACTAAGGTTCATAAAAGGTTGGACACCAGAGACCACCGAGGTGGCCTGAGACATAAATGCTATAGAAGCAAGTGCAAGGGGGTGGGAGGGGGTGCAGGGAAGGAAAGGTGATACTGGACTCCTGGCAGAAGGAGAAGTCCAGAGCAGCAGCTAAGCAGCTGATGGTGGAGGGGCCCTGGCTGGCTAAATCTAGGAGCAGCAAGGTGGTATTCTCCATGCAGAATATCCCAGAGCTGAGCCACACAGCATCACCGTCTTCCAAGACATGGCCAGCAGGAGTGGGGATCTTGATGACCAGGGCCAATAATACAGCATTCGCTATAAGCACATGGCACTACCTCATTCTAGACACCCTGTATGTCAGACTAGCTCACCACACACATACACATATACCCCCCCACTCCACGCACACACACATGGCCCAGCAGTAGCCTGTGAAACAGCTTCTCCATACGCTGACCCAGGAAGCCTTCTCACCCTTGACTGACCTGCAGTAGGAAAGGCTGTTTGCTGGGTTGGCCCAATCTTCCCTCCTCCTTTCATGCGTCCGGTTAGATTCCCTCCGCTCTCCATATTCTACAATGAGAAAATTAGTATGACCCAGCTCACACCAGCATGGATGACAGGGCTGACTGCTGATCTGAGTTAATGGTAGCACAGACAGACAGACAGACAGACAGACCGAACCATGGGGATCACAACCCAACTTATGCTGACCTGAATCCTTGGGAAGGAACGTGCCGACAGACAGACAGACAGACAGACAGACAGACAGACAGAAGGAAATGGTGAGTGACTCACTGGTGTTCTGGGCCCTTGGTAGAGCACTGGTTTGAACAGATCATCCACATAGTGGTCCAAGGCTCTGGGGGATTTGAAGTCACTTCTGCCTGTGGGCAGAGATGTCCAGCTATCATTTGGGAGAGAAGTGTCCCTCCCCATCCCTAGTCTTGGTTGCAGGCTGGATGCGCTGACCTGGTCTGGTTCAGGATTCAAGCCCTCCCCATCCCTCTCCCTCTCAAACATCACTGGTTTTGTCTGTCTGTGTGAGGCCTGCTCCTGTCCAACTCCCCCAGGTGCCAGCCTCAGGCCAGGGAAGGGGCTCACCTGAGTAGGGGCTTTCCGGGCGGGAGCTTGGATCCCTGGTGCAGGGGGAATCCTGGCAAAAAGAAAAGCCACTGAGATGAGAAAAGGAAAGAGAGCTGAGGAACCAGCTGAGGACTCCAGAAGCAGCCAGTGGCACTTACATATCCAGAAAGGCGCTTTGATGAAAGCTCCTGTCCCCCTCAGGCATGATGGGATAATCAGATGAGGACAGAGAGGGCCAACCAGTCCCCTCCATCTCTCCAATGACATCCAGCACGAAGTCACAGCCAAGCAGGTCCTGCCAAGTGTCTCCTGTGAATACGGACACGGACCATCCTCGAGGGACCTTGTCCAAGCCTCTGAGAATGGGGGAGACAGGAAGAGAGGAAGACACAGTTTGGAGAGAATGTGTTGAATTCTCTTCTCCCAGCTTCTGCCTCTCCTGGTCCACACAAGTTATTCTTCTCCTCACAGCTTTCAAACAACCCCATCCTCATCGGGCCTGGAACCTCCCCCAACACATATGAATGTAGCTGACTCCTCACCATCTTTCTCTCTCCAGCTGTACAAGGCAGGGAATGATCATCATTCCCAGAGAAAGTCTGGGGCTGAGGTCTCATTGCCACACAGCTAAGGATCAGTTCTTCTCCATCACTTCTATGGTCTGAGCTAGGACAGAGGTTGGGAGATATCCCTACCAGCTCCTGCTCCTCACTTGAGATCCCTGGACTGGGCTTTGCCATTGTGGGGCTCATCAGCCGCACTGTGCTGCCTCAATCCTTTGATTTCACTCCCACCCTGACCAGTGGCTCCATCTGCATCGTTGGGTCAACTGGGACTGCTGACCAGCAGGTCGGAGGAGGCTCCAGGAACCTTACACCCCCAAACTGGAGAGAGGGAAGAGGTTCTGTTGGGACTTGTGGCTAGGCCTGAAGTGGCCTGCAGCTCAGAGCAATCGTAACCCAAAAAGCAACAGTGCGTGCTCCCACAAACATAACCAACATCTTCCCCACCTTGGGCTGTACCTTGTGCTCAGAATCCAACCTGCATACTGTTCCCCTGTTGTCCAGGACTCCACCTCAGCAGAGAACTTTTCCTCTAGGCCAGAAGAGAGAGTGTCAGTGCACAGCCTTCCACAAAGCAAGTAACAGGATCTTGTTAACAACAGCAAAGAAAAAGCCACGCTGGAAGATCTCATGCACAGACTCCCAAAGAGACTCAAAATGCAGCTGGAGCTGCCTATCCAGGGTCAGGGGCCCATCTACACTAACACATGGAGAGGGGTCTGTAACTACTAGCCACTTGCAAGCCCCAGAGCATCTCAGATCCCACATTTAGGGAGTCTAGTCAACAACCAGGTGCCTGTTAGCCAAGGTCTGCTGCAGAGGTACTGAGTATCCCACAGCATCCAACCTCTGTCCCTCTAATAGGTTAAAGCAAGACTCTAGATTTCAACTGTTTCTACCGTTGGGGGATTTGGTGAAATTTAAGCTCCAAGTCAGTCCTTTAGGTACAGCTGTCATTTCAAATGCTCCCTGCCTTTTTGGCTGGTGCCAATGACGCAGGTCTTGTGAGTACTTCAAACAAGCGAAGGAAGGGATTTCCAGAGCCTAATCCCAAATTCCAGCAAGGGCAGAGGCTCTGAAGGGTGACAAGGTGGGGAAGGCAGAGGCAACTGTTACCGCTGTAGGTGAAGACATCCAGCACCATCTTCCCTTTCCTTTGGTTGGCAGTCCACTCCAGCTGGGTTGGGGGGTGCACACGGGACACCTCAGGGACCATCTCTGTCTCTTGCATTGCTGTGAGGATCTTGCGCTGGCAGATGGCATTGTAGCCTTCCAGCCCATGGTCTGAAACGAACCTGCAAACGAGGCAGCTGCCTTTAATACACAGCTCCGCTCTGCACACTCCCATGTCAGAGAACAGTCTCCCCCCTCCTTACTTCAGCAAGGGCTTGTCCAGTGCTGGCAGGGGGGTAAAGGCACTCAGGAGAGCAGCCATCAGGACCCAGCCTCGCTGGCACTGCTCCCCATCTGGGTTCTTCCACATCTGGGTGGCCACCTGGCTCAGGATCTCATTGCGCAGGACAGGAGCTCTCAACCCTCGGCTGGTGATGTAGTTACCCAGAAGCACCTCTTGCCAGTCCTGGAGGTTCTGGTCCGCAAGGAACCGCAGAATCTGCCAGATACCCAATGGGAAAAAAGAGAGGGAGCTTGAACTGCCACATTCAGACCCAACTGCAAAGCTCTGGGATCATCAGAACAGAAGACCCTGGGCGGCTGCACCAAAAACTTAGATCTGGATTCGGGTTCAGGTTACCAGCGCCTTCACAATTTAGGAGAATTTGGGTGGCAGGGCACTGACTGAGAGACCTGAAGGGGGCTAAAATCTGACCTACTGGGACCAGAACTGGGCAAGACAAACCAGCTGAACATGTGCAACTACATGGTAAAGGAAGGTGTGTTCTTACCTTGGTTTGGCTAATCTGGAGCAAGCCAGTTAGGCTTTAACATGGGTTAGCAGCTCAAGTTCAGGCCTATAGCAGAGCCTGGGTCTGAAACCCAAGTACTAGCCCAAACTGCTCCCACCCTCACTCGTAACCCAAATGAACCAAATGGAGCCAGTCACACCCAGTTAGGATCATACCTCACTTTGCAGTGTAGACGCACCCATTGGCAGAGATGCAGACACAGGGCTGGGTGTTGCACTGATGCACAGTTTGCTCCTATTTATATATTTTTAATGCCCCCCGCTCCCCACCAGAGCAAAGGTGTTGCTTATTTATTCCCAAACCAAAAGCAACATTAGAGAGAGTTCACAGTGAGAATCCATACCAGTAACTAGGGGTATATAGGCAAGTGTAAGTATCCAAAAGCCTAGTACTAGAGACCCAGGGAACTCCCAGCTAAAGGCTACACTTCAGAGACAAAAATTCTGCAGATTGGACATGACCAGCAAAATATTTAATTTTTTTTTTAAATATAAAGACTTGATCAAAAAATAAGCCACTGAGAGGGGAAGCCCCAAACCCTACCAAAGGTGAAGTTAAGTAACAGGAGCCAAAGGCTTGCTCTCAGGCTCCTTAAATGGCCATCAAGGTGTGTATGTCTAACCTGAGTCACGCCGTGACTTATCGCTGGAACCCCGACCTCTCTCGCCCCACCCTGCCCCTCCAGTTTGTTACTCTTACTTGCTATGTTAGGCCTGGGGACTCGGTGCCAAAAACACCAGAGACGTGTACAAAAGCAAAGCAAGGTTTGATGCAGAACGTCCCAATCTGGGTTGTAGAGCGGTCCTCCCTCAGAACCAACAGAACATACCAGGAGGCTCTTTCATTTTCACCAACAGATTTATTTACCCCCAAAGGCACAGCAGGGATGTGTGTGGCAACACCACCCTGGTCTAGTGGTTAGAGCAGGGAGTGTGGATTTCTACTCTGATACTGTGATTTGGAGCGAGTTACTTTGGGCCTAAGCCCGCTCCCACTAAATTAGGTAGCAAAACGCCCCTTGACTTCAGTAGTGCAGGGTCAAGACTCCTATGCTTTCTGGGCCTCATTTCCACAGATGGTTACTAGCAGTCCCTTCTGTCTTATTTGTGCTTTACAGAGCACAGCGTGGTCCCAGAAGATTGAATACAATCCTTACTGAACCTTCCCCACATTTGGAGGGGCCAGCATCTATCTTCATGCCTCACAACACCTTGCAACAGAGGAAGTAACATTGCATCCTACATCTTGTTGTTTACCGGCACCAAGGCATGGACCCTGTTTTCAGAAACTCCCTGCTCAAGAAATAAGCCTCTGACAACCCTCTCCCTTCTGGAGGTACAATTCATTTGCTCCTTAGAGTATATATTCACTGCAGTTAACCAGGAAGGAGATTTATTTGTTGCTCTTAACACAAATCCCATCCACACGTAATTCCCTCTCATCCAAAGGGAGTGGTGCTTTCTACCTAGTGAGGTGGCCCCTCTGGGGCTAACCCTTGAGCCAGTAACTTTCCAATTTTGCATGAGGATGTCCACAATTCCCGCATGTGCCCAGACAATTTTCTCAAAGTTCAGTGGGAGCAGATCAAGTAGCTCAGCTTAGCACTGCACTAAAAACCATGGACCACATCCCCCTGAAGTCCTAACACCTCACACAGATGAGTGCAGCACCAGAGCAGATGCAAAGCATCTCTTGGGTTCCTGCACTGAGGCTGCTCAAACCTGAACCAGGCCACCCCACGATTCATACCCATGAACCAACTGCCTCTGCAGTGAATACACATCCTCAGTAGTTTAGGGTATGGACAAAGACATCATAGCAAATTAAAAGGTGGAGATTTGATGTGCATTGGCTGCTCCACAGTGTTAAATATCTGTGTGCCTGCATTTACCCTGTGGTACGTGAAAGCTAAACTGCAGTAGCTTAGCCCTATTTCACTGAGGGGTAAATTACCAGGTTTAGCTTTCACTTATCATGGGATAAGTAGAGACACATAGATTATATCTGCTATGGAGACGATGCTTGGGTATTTCACTAATCTCCAGCTACAGAGGCAAGCAATTGCTTTCCAATATTTTGCCCAATAACAGATGTCTGCGAGGACATCTGTTCCTACCCACCCACCCACTCTCACCAGTTTGTTGATCTCCAGGGTGCTCTGCTTGTACTCAGGCTCCAGACGGGTTACAGGGTGCTGCAGGGGCTGACCAAGGGCAGGAAAGCTCAGCTCCTTGGACAGGGAGGAAATAAAAAAGGACATATTAAGTTCATGCCTGAAATTTGCTTCCATGGTAGGGGCTGTATGAGAGTGCCTGGCCCAAAGCAGGACTCTATTCTCCCATCTGTAACAGGCAAGGAAGGCAACAGCAGCAGAAAGAGCTTGATGCAGACTCAGGCTTTATTGGCTCCCTCTGTGGATCCCTTGGTGGGTCCCTTGGTGCCTACCTCAGAGCAGAACCACAGACAAAGCACAAAGGGTGTCAAAAGCCTCTAGGAGGGGAGCATCTGCAGCCCCTTTTGCTCTTGGTCATGTAACCACAGGAGGAGGGCAAGAAACACAAGCCTAAGTGGGAAGGTGTCCTGACAGAGTGCAAAAAGGGAACACAGAGAAAGGAAAATGGGGCTTTTGGCTACAGCAGCTTCCTACCTGGAAGTGAGACCTCGCAAAGGAGGAAAAGGGATAATCATTGATGTTCGATGGGAGGAAGAGGTCGCTCCTGGCCTTGACCTCTGGAGGGGACACCTCAGTGATCTGGTTGGCCTGGGCATACTGCTGACCTGCAAGAGAAAGATAGGGAAACTTGTGATATTCACCAGTGTGCCCTGGCACATGCCCACATAGGAACAATACCATATGCCTCCAGGGACCTCCAGTCCCCCTCCTGAAGACACCTGCGCGATCCATCCTTCCCCAACCTGCCAACCAAATGTCCATGCCATCCTCACCAATCTCTGTTCAGGGATACCCACATGCTATGTATACAGCCACCCCGTCAACCAAGGACATACACTTCCGTCACCCTGTCCCCACAACCCTAGAGATGCCTTGACACACACTTGCCATGTCCCTCCTTCACCAACAGAGACACTATCCTTCCTCCCTCTCCTTGTGCTTTGCCATCCTGCCACTACTGATGTCTGGGGAGGGGATGTTTCCCTTGTGCTCTGTGTAGCACGTACCCACAAAAGCAGAAGAGGTGTCCCCAGTATCCAATGCTGCTAGCTACGAGGATTCAAAGCTTGAGTCAGAAGCTTCTCCCACAAATCATGAAGCAATACTACAAACTGTGCCTGATAAAGACCAGTGAATAGGGGAGGATCAAACAAGTACGGATCATATTTTTGAGGCAAACCATTTGGTTTCTCTGTTCAACCTCACACTGCCTCTCCTCTCACTGGGCAGAGGACAATTAGGTTGGGCCTCCTCAGAGTGAAGGCAAGGCTCATCTAGAAACATGGCATCAGCAGAACAAAGAGGTGGGATTCAAGAGTAGCTTGTATCCAGAATTAGCTGCATGAGAGGAACTGCAAACCAGGCCTCTATCCCTGGGACAGCCAGAGATAACATCTTAGGAAACAGTCCTGAAAGCTCCCTAGGTTTCAATTCTTTCACACAGCAAGCACATTAGGGGAACATGGAACTGAAGCAGAAACTAATGGCAATGGCCCAACTGATAAACAAACCTGATAAAGAGGTTGTTATAACTTATACGAAGGTGCATGATAAAAGATTTATCAGGGGTAATAGGGGAACACCCACTGTCTTGGCTGCAGAGATTTCCAGTGCAGCACAGCTCCCTCCACTTTCTCTTCCAGCCTCTGATGCCCTCTTCTCCCTCCCTCATAGTTTCATAGTAGCTAGGGTCAGGAGGGGCATGAACAGATCATCTAGCCTGACCCCCTGCCACAGGCAGGGATGAATGGTGGGGTTACAAGGACCCCGACCAGTGC